CTAATGCAAAGTAATGTCCAGTTGAACGGTCTGTCCAACACTCGTCTACCCGACCGTACTCGAATGGGGCAGGCCGCTCCCAGAAACTGTCCCCTCAACCACTGCCATCATTCTTGCGGCGGATTGCGTCTACTTCGAACCTGCATTTCCACTATTACTATCAACACTTCAAAGTCTCCTTACAAGTTCGCATTCGTTGTGCTACTTTTGTTTCAAAAAGCGGCGCCGTGCGGATCTTAGATTCATGAAACAAGCAAAGAAACTGTTTAATCTGATCGAAGTGAAGGATGACCCCGATCGCGAGTACTATTCAAAAGAAAACATATTTATGTACGTCATCACGAAGAGGGATGTGAAAGCTGAAGAGCCAGGGGAGCGGAAGTAAGAGATAACACGACATGTAAAATGATGGAGGAAGTACAACGTTATGATAGCTAGAGGCATTCATGGCCATATTATAATTTTTTTTTGCAGCATCTCAAGTTGTCATGTAAATATTAACTATAGCTTTAAAATAACTGGCGCTTTATATTCGTTAGAAGACACCTTATTGCCGTATACATCTTTAAGATCACCCTTGTTTCCAATGACTTTAACACCACCTTTGTTCAAGTCAGAAACTATCTTCTGTTTCTCAGCTTGTTTTCCAGTAAGTACGGGCTGAGAAGAATTTTTTTTCAGTTTTTGCTTCTCGCGTCTCCGTCGTCGCAGCTTGACTTCCCGCGGCATCTCTTCAATAGACACTGCCATCCCGTTCTTAAGGGCAATTTCCCCCCATATCTTGCCCTCATCGCCAGGGGCATACATTTCCTGCGGTGCAAGCATGCCGGAGGTATCTATTCCTGCTCCACCCGTTGGCCTTGCATCCTCCATCGCAATGGTGGCGACATCAGTGACGACATTAATGTTTGCTTGCGGTGGTTTTGGCTTGTGGTGCCAGCTTGCAAGTGTATCTAATTGAGAGCTGATGCCACTCCAGAGTCGCGCAATCTCTTCATAGTCACCCTTCAACTTTTCGCTCTTCCGGTCCACAAAGGCGGAATCCGCTATTCGGAGGTGATCTTCCTCGTATAGTTCCGCTAAACTTTGCTGTGGTTTTGTCTCATCAAGCGTAAATTGTTCACGCTTATGATGGACTTCACTACCTAGGATATATGGTTGGCGACGCGGGACTTCATCAAACTCCTTAGATAATATACGTCGCTTGATAAGCGTTTCAATATCATTGGATACTTGACTTGAGATAACAGGTACAGGTTTTCCAACACGTTCAAACTCGATATCCTCTTCGATCAGCGAGTTTATTGGCCGATCCGGTGCCTTTGCTTCCCCTGACAACATCCATTCTCTTTTGGAGACATTCGCCGCTTCCAGTCGTCGTATTTCGTCTGTGATACTGGCTTGCCTTTTCTCATGGGATGACTGAGGTGCTCTATTTGGTTGCGAGAGGGCGCCCATTTCCTCGTCGTTGTCGGGCGGATCATCATCGAAAAGATCACGCTGTACATCGTAAATAGCACGACGAATACTAGCTTCGATATCTTCATCGGGAGTGGGAGATTTTGATTTTGACACGGGGCAGGCCTGTCGTCCCTTTCGAGCATGGGAATGAGGGGGATCAAAAAAATCGGCGTATTTTATGTCATTCGCATTGCCACCCACCAAACCCATCTCATCCCCATCCGCATCACCATTCTCATCCATAAACGCAGAATCTGAACTGTCGTCTTCTTTAGCACTGTTCTGGTCTGCATTATCTTCTTCACCATCCCCACTAATCACACCAAGAATAAGCGGATCAGCTCCCCAATCAATGGCTACTGCGTCATTGTCATCGTCGCTGCGCATCCCCTTTGCATCCC